GATCTACGTGCAGTCGACTACTGCGTGCGAGACTGGTGTTTTGTCCATCATTTAAGCGCAATGACGTGGTCCAAGTGTACACGCCTTGCAACGGGGTTTTTATTGAGAGCAAAGGGCGAAGGCCATGACAGCGAGCTTTCTAACAGTACAAGTCTGTGAATTTTACATGTACACATAATAATTGGCAACTTGAACCACCAGAAAAGTTTGAGTACGTGTGGGTATATGTTGTACACTCGGATTGGAATAGCGTGTGTACATAAAACAATCTGGTATAAGATTACAATAAGTAGGCTACCAAATTCTCGGTAGGCCAAAAAGTAAAAGGGCGGGAGCCACGTGGGGGCCATGTGGGGGAGAACAACAGGCTGAAATAAGATGAACAGAGCCACCGACACAGAGATCTAGAGATACAACAGTAGATAAAGGCAGTTTGTTTAAAAGTTAGGTTTCACGGTAAGTCTGCTCCGAGCTGTCTCCCAGCTCCTGTCGTGAACAGTGTCCACAGTTAATCCCTCCTTTTGTATACTTATATTATGCTCCTATGGCCGTGGGGGTTGAGGGCCCAGGCTCACAATAATGGCAGGCATATGTATGTGTGTTTTAGTGGGGGGGGGGGGTCTCTGGGATGTGTCCTTGAGCAAGACACAATGGTCCTCCCTCAAAAAAAGGGCGCTGCATTGAGACGAAAAGGAAAAACGTGTAGGAAGAGTGGTGTCTATCTTGGTGTCATGTTGTGTTCTCTCTGCTGCTTGATTGTTTGTATTGCACAGGCAAATTAAAGCCAAATATCCATACTACGAGATCAATAAAGTGGCATGTTTTCTTTTTTTTTAAATACCGTAATTTCATTGGGAAGAACGTATAGTAAATCTTGACAACATTCACGTCGGTAAAACGAGCATCTCAGGTGGTGCGCATGTTTCAGAGAATCACCTTACACAAAGTAAACCTGTATCCACCAGGAGCACTTCAAGTGGGGTCGACAAATACGTAATGCTATTTACACTTCAGTGTGGTACGTTTTCCTGCCAGTAACGGTCATCAACCTCCGCTAGTGATTCCATCCCCCCCCCCCCCCGAAACCAATCCATCAAGAAAACATTTTAAACCTTACAAAGCTTTTCCTTCTATCCATCTACAAGGTGTGTCGATAAGAACAGTACTTTCCGACAAAAGAAAAATATCCGGTTTCTCCTGCCTTATAAGATAAACCACACTTAACCGCTTACGATTGGAAAGAGTGAGTCTGTGATTGTGTGTGTGTGTGGGGGGGGGGGGTTATTTATGCTTACAAGTTCATAAAGTACCCATTAAAGAATAAATATAATAAAACCACCTTGTGTTTATTTTCGTAATCATACCATTCCATTTTAAACAAGATACAACCAGGAAGTGAATTGAACAACCGACATTATTCAATCCCTTGCCAGGTTTATGATTGTAATCCACCACCCCTTTGACGGCCTAGCTGCTAGGCTTGGTAGAAGATTGTTAGCACCGTGAAAACGCTATAGTGCTAGCTTCTACCAAGCAATCAACTCCAAACATCAGAATTCCTGTGTGTGGTCCTCGCACTTTTTGTCCCCCGCCTTTGCCTCCGCCTCCTCCTCCCCTCTCCTCCCCCCTCCTCATTTCCTCCTCCTCTTCCTCGCCTTCCTGTTCCCCCTGTGTGTGTGTGTGTGTGTGTCTGTGTGTGTGTGTGTGTCTGTGTGTGTGTGTGTGTGCGTGCGTGCGTGCGTGGTGAAACATCAAACCAATATACCAGGACCTGGACAACAAAGACGTATCTTATCTTATCTCTTTCTCCTTCTCTTCCTCCTCTTTATCCCCCTCCTCTTTTTCCTTGAGAAATGTTTTAAAATCGACCCAATCAGAAAGCATCGTTATCAGCCTCACTTCACTATTTCATTTGGAGGAATTGTCTATTCTCTTACCCGTAACTGGTTAGTGTATAGGCCCATCGTCCTTTTCAGTACTGAAAGGTTATTTGAGAGACCAGACCTCCAAATGTAACACCTGTCACCGATAGAAGCGAACCAAGTAGGCTGAGGTTGTGAAAAAACTTCTCAAACAACGCAAGTTCGAGAACGCCTCCGTTGGAGAATCGAACCACGTCCATCACAAACACAGTTCAGCTTGATACCAACCGAGCTAATGTCGAGCCGCCCTCTGCTATCTAAAGACTGTGTGCCAAGTCGTTCGTTTGTTCAACTTGCCCTGACGATATCAAAACAACCTGCCAGAATGACATACCAAGTCCATGCCACAGAGGTCTCTCGATGAAAAATCGATTTTTAACAATGCGGTGGGTATTCAAGTGTAGGCATTCTGCGCACAAAGCTTTTACCCAACTTACTTCCTGGTTAGTTTTGTCTGCTTTATCTAACAACTAGCCTACCGCGTCTCGTTAATACAAGAAAGCCTTACGATCTGCTATCTTAAGTAAACGTCTCTGGCTTTTTTCACACTTTGTTTTTTGCAGTCGTTGAGCTAGTTTGGTTATCGCTATTGCTGTCTTGATGGCAATAATAATAATGAATAATGGATTGCATTTATATAGCGCATATCCACTTATGCAATGCTCTATGCGCTTAACATAATACATATTATGGATTTACAAATCTATTTTAAAGGCACATAGTGTTAAATACACGTGCCAACACATACTCACGCACGCACGCACGCACGCACCACACACACACATACACACATACATACACACATACACACATACGTACATACGCACATATGCACATACTAACTCACAACGATCTACAGCTTGGAATGATTCTGTCTAATCGAAATATGATGAAAATAGAAATGCTTTTAGTTTCTTCTTTAAAAATTCTAGATTTTGTGCTTCTCTGATAGTTTTTGGAAGCCTTCTATTCCAAATAAGAGGGGCAAAATATGAAAAAGAGCGTTGGTCATATGTTTTGTAATTTATTTTAGGTTTAACAAGGGTTATGGCTAATATTGTGGTTGGTTGTGGTACTACTGCTAGTTGTGCAGTTGTTGCTGCCGCTGTTATTGATGGGAGGTTGTTGTTTTTTCTCGTGGCTATTGCGATAAATACAGTTGTTATTAGTTATGTTCTTATTGATGTTGTCGTTATAATTGTCATTGTTGTTGTGGTACGGTTGTTATTAGGAAGAAGACGAGAATGGGCTTATACTAAGTTTAAGTTTTATAAGTTTTGGAAATAACCAGACCCAGCAGGTATCAAATATTTGAAAACGAAACCTGGTTAAAAGAATCCCGGTACATGTATTTATGCTATGAACTTTGTTGTTGTTATTTTGTTTGGTGTTTTTTTGTGGAGGATTTTATTTTGGTTGTTGTTGTTGTTGTTGTTGTTGTTATTGTTAGATTTATTTCCTTTTTCTTTTATTCGATTATCCTTTATTCGGTGTTGTTTCTGTTTGCTTTGTTTAGTGTGGGTTGACGGAAGGGAGATGGGGGTTTGTTTATGTTTTTGTTTTTGTGAATTAATTGGATTTTTGTTTGTTTTATTTTGTTGTTTTTTTTCGTTTGCTTTTCTCTTTTTTTTTGTGAGAAAGGGCTGCTCGGGGGACCGAGGACGATCAGGAAAACGAGACTTAAAACTGAGTTTTAGTTGACGTCACCTTACAGTATTGTACACATCCTGGGATCATTTTATAAAATGTGTATTGCTAAGGGGAGACAGCCGAGCGGAGTGGGTGCACATACAGTCATAAACACGTGTGTACACATTCTTAATGTTTGTGTTGGGGCTTATTTTGGACTTGCTCTCGCGTTAACACTCCACAAATAGACCCACCTAAGATGCATCTCGCTACACTATTCCAAACGGTCTGAATAAAACGAGGCAGATGAGCGAAAGTAGTCTACTCCAGTGCTGTTGTTTGGTTTGGGGGGGGTGTTTGTTTGTTGTTTAGTTGTTGTTTTTCTGGGTTATTGTTGTCGTTATTGTTGTTGCTATTGTTGTTGTTGTTGTTGTTGTTGTTGTTGTTGTCGTTGTTGTTGTTGTTGTTGTTGTTGTTGTTGTTGTTGTTGTTGCTATTGTTGTTGTTGTTGTTGGGGTTTGTTTGTTTGTTTGTTTGTTTT